GTCCACTTCAGGTCCTGGGAGATAGTGGAGCCGAGGAACTTGAAGGACTTTACTGCCGATACAGTGCTGCTAAGTATGGTGAGGGGGGTAAGGTGGGGGGGTTCTTCCTGAAGTCCACTGTCATCTCCACTGTTTTGAGCGTGTTCAGCTCCAGGTTGTTGCAGCTACACCACAGGACCAGCTGCTCATCCTCTTGTCTATAGGCTGACTCATCACCGTCTCGGATGATACCAATGACCGTTGTGTCATCTGCAAACGTTAGAAGCTTTACAGAGGGGTCCTTTGAGATGCAGTCATTGGTGTAGTGTGAAAAAAGCAGAGGGGAGAGCACACATCCCTTGGGGGCACCTGTGCTTATTGTCCAGGTGAAGGATGTGGTTTTCCCCAGCCTCACTTGCTGCTTCCTGTCTGTCAGAAAGCTAGTAATCCACTGACAGGTGGGGGCAGGCACAGTGAGCTGGGTCAGTTTGAAGTGGAGAATGTCCGGGATGGTGGTGTTAAATGCTGAGCTGAAGTCCACAAAGAGGGCCCATGCATAGGTCCCTGGGGAGTCGAGGTGTTGCAAGATGTAATGCAGTGCCATGTTCACTGCATCATCCACTGACCTGGTAGGCTAACTTCAGGAGGTCTACGATGTCCTTCAGGTGTTCCAACACCAGTCTTTCAAAGCACTTCATAACTACAGATGTCAGGGCGACAGGTCTTTAGTCGTTCAGTCCACTGATGGAGGTTTTCTTGAGGACTGGGATGATGGTGGGGCGTTTGAAGCAGGAGGGGACTTCACACAGCTCCAGTGACCTGTTGAAGATGAATATGAAGATGGGGGCCAGCTGATCACACCATCTGGGCCTGGTGCCTTTCTGATCCTTTGGTTTTTTTAAAAAGAGACCATGCACATCCTTTTCAGAGATCATTAGAGATGGGGGGACTGCAGAGAAAGATGGTGATTGTTGGGGGAGCAGCTGCTGGATCTGAAGGGGAGGGGTGAGGGGGGAGTGTTTTGTCAAACCTGCAGTAGAACACATTCAGGTTGTCTGCTAGTTGACGGTCCTCCACAGCGGGGGGGTGTGGTCAGCCAGTGATTGTTTTCAGGCTCCCCCACACAGACGAGGGGTCTTTGGCTGAAACCTGAGCTTTCAGCTTTCAGCTTTTCAGAGTAGGTCCTCTCTGCTGTTTTGATCTCTTTTGTCAGTGTGTTCCTGGCCTGGCTGGAGTTCTGTCCCTACTTATGTAAGCCTCCTATGTGGTGTGACGAAGCTGATTGAGTCTTACTGTGAACCAGGGCTTGTTGTTGTTGTATGTGCAGGAGGACTTTTTGGGCACGCCCATGTAGGACCCAGTTCTTGCTACCATGCTAACACTGAGAGACGAGGCAGTCCAAGTAACTTCTAAACAGTGCTGATTTATTCAAAGGATCACAGGTAAAATTAACATTACACGCTCAGGTATCTTGCACCTCCAACCTGC